CAGTCATGCCGGGGAGGGGGTGGGGGCGAAATGATCCCACGATCGGCAGTTGTCGGTTGCATTTGAATTTTCAGAAGCGGACCATGGTCTTGTCCTTCAAGTCCTGTGTGATTTATTTTTGAGAATTGACTCCTCACCCACTATTCCCTTCCCCTGCACCACCAGTCAGCTGTCCGACCCTGTCAACTAGCCGGTGGTGGAATTAGGCGTGGTGACTGTCGTACCGTAAAAGCCTGCGTCCAAGGCCTGTCACACGCATGTGTGGCAGTAGACAAGAGGCTCTTGCGGACTCAGCGTTTCCCGACAAACACTTATCATGGGCAAGTCTGACCCCCCTCTTGGTTTAGCGCATCCACAGAGCGACCCATTTTGAGGGGTCATTTTCGAACTATCAAAAACGAGCGGAAGACGCGTCCTCCGTATGTCCTGAAATACACCTACCGCATAAGTGGGGGGGGGGGGTGCTTGAAGGTCGTGCATCGCGCATCGTTCCTCTGGTTTTCTCTTGGTTTTCTGTAATAGTCGGTTTTTTTAGTGCATTTCTACTTCTTAGACATGATTCCCCCACCGTCCACCATTCAATTAACTTTTTTATGTCAATCCTGCTTCAGTCTAGGTTATTTCTCTTTTGTCATTCTGTAAGAATGTGAAAGCAATGGATCGATACCTTATGAGAGCTCTTCTCATCTGATAAGAAGTAGAAACGATCCCTGGAACAAGGGCTTTATTCGCCTGACGTTTCGGATTCTCACTGGAACCCATCATCATAGACAATGACGGCAACTGATCTGAGCTGTTTAATCTCAGGCTTAATCTTGGACCGTTTTTGTACGAACGGCTGTCCAGCATACTTCCTCAGTTTTTAACTACCCACTATGCATTGACTAACCTCCCCCAAATTCCATTTTAATCTCTCCCTTTCACCAGGGCAAGGTTAGCGCAAATAAGGGCGAAATCGGTGACGCCACACCCTTCAACGATGCTGTCAACGTACGCAAGATCTCCCTCCTGCTGCAAGAATACGGCTACCAGCACACCGGCAACGAGATCATGTACA